CAAATACTGACGCCTTGTTTCTCGCCTCTCCCGGATAATTTCACCTTGACTCATCTCCCTATTAATATTTGGCCAATGACCACACTGTTATTTGACCTCAATGGCATGATATTTGACCTCAATGGCATGACAATGCAGCGATCATATTAAGCTAAGTCTTCCTAGATTCGTATCCCTCCAAATTATTGTTTTGGTTCTTTACTTAAACAAATTCTTTGACAAATTTTCAACAATGCTCTTTTCTTACTTACGTTATTTTATTCCAATTCATGTCATATATAACTGTGGCTCCTTCAAGATATTGTACCGCATAATCATGTACTTCTCTATGTCTTCACAGATAGAAACTTAGTTACAATGTTTAGTCCTGTATACTGTCCTAGAAATGACCTCCCAGGCCACCGGTCAACATTATAAATTTGGGGGGATCTTTCCTCTTCTAACTTCAAGAATTCAGTCATATAGTCTGCTGAATTTTAATATTTTACTGTAATGATCCAATGTTTTAAATACAGTTCAAGTCTTCCTGTTACATGGTAACTGACATATATAAACCTACAAACAGGTTTATATGTAATTTTTTATTATTATATATAATTGTGTTAATTAATATATATATTATCAATTAAGGAAAATATGAGGCATTTTAATACAAAATTGAAAGTTAATTAAAATCCCTGTCCAAAAGATTGACATATAAATTAAAAGAACTGAATTCCGTTTGGTTAAAATACGCCACGAATTCCCTCACTGCATTGTTGGCAATATTTTCTCATTTAGCTTTGCCTTTCCAACACACTAATAAATTTACATTGAGCTGCAGATAAACATATCACTCAGAACAAAATCTTTTGCGCAGGGACTCGTCCACGATGGCTTAATTCAGCAGCATACTGTCATCACACGGATGATATCATATTTTGTAATATAAATATTTGCATATTTTGGACCGGGTGGAGGGAGGAGGGGATGTCCTTCCAGCAGCAGCAGGAGGAGGACGTCGGTGATCACAGGAACGTGTCTGACAATCCACACCACTCAGTAGTCTGATGAACTCTGATCGCTGAAGCATCAGCTCGTGATTCTGAACTGCATCTGATAAAGGCTACTGACTCAAACAAATCTCACATCATCCAAACAACAAACGTGTGTGTGTGTATGTATATACGCGTATGTATGTATCTTGAAGAGCGGAGAAGATATATTATAGCGGGTGGTATACGTTCCTTATAAAATTTATACCAAGTCGAAGAGGCAATAGAAGCGTAATGAGTAATACAATATCATAATGCTGAGAGGAGGATTAGCCAGACTGCCAGAAGCGAGGGAGTGAGCCGCGCCTGCACGAAACTCGATAGAAGGGAGGATGGAACACTATGACAAAGTAGGTACTCCCGTTAACGCAATAGTGCTGGAGGGCTGCCTCCCAAGTAATACCAGCCTCTTGACTCATATATTGCATCGCTATATAAGCGCCCCATGAACGACACTTTAACGGTAAACACTGTAAATATATTAGATACATTCTGGGGCTGACATGTTGCAATCATGATCTTGATGTTGGATATATTTTTTTAATTGGGATGTGTCTGGGAATTGCTAAAACAGAAAATAATAAAGAAAACGCTTCAGATGTGTTTGTGTGGACGTTTAAATAATGGATAACAATATATTCTGCAATAGAAACTACAAATATAACAATTATTTTCATTGCACAAGCAACTTATGCTTCATAACATTATCCATGTACAATGACCACTATATTCCTCTCTCTCTTCCTCTCTCTTCCTCTTTCTCTCTGTTGCTCTCTGTACACTCTCACATCTTGAAAGAGAAAATCGGGAGCCACACTAAACCGAAAATAAACCTTTAAGCGCCTCAAAGTCCCGCAACATAAATCAGTCAGTGAAAAACTTAAGTACCTCCCCCTTCCTCCAACCCTTCCCGTCTCTCTATACCCTCCCTCCCCGTCTCTCAGTACCTTCGCTCCCCGTCTCTCTGTACCTTCGCTCCCCGTCTCTCTGTACCCTCTCTCCCCGTCTCTGTCCCCTCCCTCCCCGTCTCTCTATACCCTCCCTTACCGTCTCTCTGTACCCTCCCTCCCCGTCTCTCTGTACCCTCCTACTCCGTCTCTCTGTACCCTCCCTCCCCGTCTTTCTGTACCCTCCCTCCCCGTCTCTCTGTACCCTCCCTTACCGTCTCTCTGTCCCCTCCCTCCCCGTCTCTCTGTACCCCTCCCTTACCGTCTCTCTGTACCCTCCCTCCCTGTCTCTCTGTACCCTCCTACTCCGTCTCTCTGTACCCTCCCTCCCTCCCCGTCTCTCTGTACCCTCCCTCCCCGTCTCTCTGTACCCTCCCTTACCGTCTCTCTGTACTCTCCCTCCCCGTCTCTCTGTACCCTCCCTTCCCGTCTCTCTGTACCCTCCCTTACCGTCTCTCTGTACTCTCCCTCCCCGTCTCTCTGTACCCTCCCTTCCCGTCTCTCTGTACCCTCCCTTCCCGTCTCTCTGTACCCTCCCTTCCCGTCTCTCTGTACCCTCCCTTACCGTCTCTCTGTACTCTCCCTCCCCGTCTCTCTGTACCCTCCCTCCCCGTCTCTCTGTACCCTCCCTTACCGTCTCTCTGTACTCTCCCTCCCCGTCTCTCTGTACCCTCCCTTACCGTCTCTCTGTACTCTCCCTCCCCGTCTCTCTGTACCCTCCCTCCCCGTCTCTCTGTCCCCTCCCTCCCCGTCTCTCTATCCCCTCCCTCCCCGTCTTACTGTTAAAATATTACTGTTAGAAAAGTATTTATGCTGTAAAAGTATTGCTGAGTTTAATAATTATTTGGGCCAAGGTTTTTGTTATATAAAAATATTACAGGAGAAAAAGTATTTGTTACGTGAAAATATAATTGAAGTTAAACAATTATTGAAACCAAAGCATTTCTGAAGTAAAAGTATTACTAGGGCAAAAATGTTAGAGAAAATTATTACTTGAGCAATAGTATTCTGGATATAGAAGCGAATTGCTGTAGCCTAGAGTTATAGTCCAGAAGATGGTCTCATTTGCCTTATATTAGATGATTCCAACATTGAGAGGTATGCAGAAGGCAAGAGGGCGCACAACGTGGCCTGCGGTCGAGCCTTCCCCTCAGAGAACAACACAACTGGAATATTAAAACATTCCCACCGCTGGATCTGAGAGCAAGCGGTAACAGCTCAATGATTTTTTTTAGATATGATCCATAACCAAACATTGTTTTAAAATTTATATGGAATTTATTTGTTGAATTTTTTTATGGTAAAGATATAGTTTAAAATTCAGTCAAGTGGACAAAATGGCGTGTTAGAACGAGCACAAAGAACAAAATATTAATTTATTCATGCCTCGTAATCCTCGAAATTTTAATTTTCATTACAACCTTAATATCATCGACTGTCAAAATAGCTTTTTCTCGGTACAAATCACTTGATTCACAAGTAGGTATTATTTGATTTGTACCCGTTTTCTTCTGAGATTGCGTTGACTATTTAGCACTCTAACAATTTTAAATGATAAATAAAACCATTTATTTTGCACTCTAATTCCTGGCCGTATTACAAAAAAGATACCAGATAATAATCAACGTTACTGCCTAATTAAAGTCAAAACCCCCAAAGCACCCAGCCAGCCATTAACATCTATTAAACGTGACACATAAATGAAAACCAGCAGGTTAGAAGCCGCTATTGTGAGCGAGGCCTGACGAGCCAAACAAATCATGGGATCAGGTCTACAGCTGCCCCCGGCGACAGAGAGGAAGCAGGTGACACGCCGCCCCACCAACCCCTAGCGGCGGCTCCACACTCCTCCAACACCTGGTATAGTCAGGCAAAGTTTGATTGCTTTCAGAGGGTCAGAACGCTATATTTGTTCTGATTTTAGTTGGTGCATTGGAGGGAAGCGGGAGCAGCTGGGAGGGTGTGGAGGGAAGCGGGAGCAGCTGGGAGGGAAGCGGGAGCAGCTGGGAGGGTGAGGAGGGAAGCGGGAGCAGCTGGGAGGGTGTGGAGGGAAGCGGGAGCAGCTGGGAGGGTGTGGAGAGAAGCGGGAGCAGCTGGGAGAGTGTGGAGGGAAGCGGGAGCAGCTTGGAGGGTGTGGAGGGAAGCGGGAGCAGCTGGGAGGGTGTGGAGGGAAGCGGGAGCAGCTGGGAGGGTGTGGAGGGAAGCGGGAGCAGCTGGGAGGGAAGCGGGAGCAGCTGGGAGGGTGTGGAGGGAAGCGGGAGCAGCTGGGAGGGTGTGGAGGGAAGCGGGAGCAGCTGGTTGAGTGTGGAGGGAAGCGGGAGCAGCTTGGAGGGTGTGGAGGGAAGTGGGAGCAGCTGGGAGGGTGTGGAGGGAAGCGGGAGCAGTTGGGAGGGTGTGGAGGGAAGCGGGAGCAGCTGGGAGGGTGTGGAGGGAAGCGGGAGCAGTTGGGAGGGTGTGGAGGGAAGCGGGAGCAGCTGGGAGGGTGTGGAGGGAAGCGGGAGCAGCTGGGAGGGTGTGGAGGGAAGCGGGAGCAGCTGGGAGGGTGTGGAGGGAAGCGGGAGCAGCTGGGAGTGGAGGGAAGACATCACAAACATTTTAGGATGTTTAACCCCAAGTTTAAATATTGTTTTCCTTTACCATTGAACCTATAAAAAGCATTTACAGCGGCTCTCTTATACGGTTAATGAGGCCAGTGCCCTACCCTCCCCTCTGTCAATATTATTGTTTATACGGAAATATTTTATCGTGTTTCCCTTCATCCTTCTCTCTCCCTCCCATTGTCATCCCCTGTCCCCTCTCACTAATCCCTCTCCCCTTACTCTCTTATCCCTCTACCCTCACCCTGACACCCTGTTTGTGTGTCCCTCAAGGGAAATTACACTCACAACCCACTAACCCTAATTGAGCTCATAGTTGTGCACCTCTTCAGATGAACCATGCTCGGCCCTTTTCCCCTCGCTGACACGTTCCGTTCCCCTCGGTGGGACGTTCTCACCCTCTTTCCTTGCTCCTTCTGCAGGTGGTGGGCGGTATCCCGTAATGGTCTACATCCACGGGGAGAACTTCTCCTGGGGCTCCGGCAACCTGTACGACGGAAGCGTCCTGGCTGCCTACGGCCAGGTCACCGTCGTAACTCTCAACTACCGTCTAGGACCACTGGGTAAGTCCCGGGTGAGAGAGAGAGAGAGACAGAGAGAGAAAGAGAGAGAGAGAGAGAGAGAGAGAGAGAGAGAGAGAGAGAGAGAGAGAGAGAGAGAGAGAGAGAGAGAGAGAGAGAGAGAGAGAGAGAGAGAGAGAGAGAGAGAGAGAGAGAGAGAGAGAGAGAGAGAGAGAGAGAGAGAGAGAGAGAGAGAGAGAGAGAAAGAGAAGAGAGAAGAGAGAGAGAGAGAGAGAGAGAGAGAGAGAGAGAGAGAGAGAGAGAGAGAGAGAGCGAGAGAGAGAGAGAGAGAGAGAGAGAGAGAGAGAGAGAGAGAGAGAGAGAGAGAGATGATAAAGATCTGGCATTTCATTAACTGTTTATTCCATCATCTGTAGCTGGTCGCCTCTGTGATCCTGTATCAGTCACATGGGTGCCAGAGAAAAGGCTACACAGGAAGGATTATGCTTGTAGGGAAGTTAGCTGGGAGGAAATTGATTGGGAGGAGACTTTCAGGAAGAAGGAAGATAGGAAATTGATTCCCAGGAAGAAAGTTATATGTATATATATACATATAGTTATATGTATATATATATATATATATATATATATATATATATATATATATATATATATATATATATATATATATATATATACATACATATATAGACATATAATCTTTTTATACGCCTGGTTTTACTGAATGTAACAAAATATTTAATTATAAATAATTGACTGCATGCAGTAATCCGGTTATAGAAGTCGGCTAATAATCCTGGTAATCAAATTAATCTACAACGCCAGGTAAATTGACCGAGTTAATCAAACAGTATGTGACCCGCATCAATTGTTCTCTCTCTCTTTACCACACAAACCCGTCCAACCCAACACTAGCCCACCTAACCTGTAAAAGTTCATAACTATTAGATGGGCACTCTAATGAATCCTAGAAGCAGTCTGTTATTATTATATGAGCAGTCCTAGAAGCGCATTGTATCCAAGCCAGAGCATATGATAACGTGATTGACCACACAACCAACCCTGAGACTTCTTCATGGATTGGGTCTTGGGATCATTGATCCTAGGATCAATTCAGTTTAACCTCAGGGTAAGACTGAACCTTTCCAGCCAATTTTCATGATTTCATGTGCGTCAAATACGAATTTGCTTAACCAGAGACGTTCAAACCTTCGACATCCAATTAACCATTGCAAATTAAAACAAAGATCCACCAAAAACACGGTGATCTTAATTGTAATAGAGCTCCGGAAACTTGACGTTGTGGTCGATGACGTCAAAATTGCAGTTTCAAGCAAGTGTAAAGACAATTTGTTCAGTCCGCTTCTGCACACAGAGTCCAACATTGGCGCTGTTAGACCACAGTTTCCTGATGAAAAATTTCACAGTGATTATAAACATTCTCTTTTCATCACCAAAGAATAATAATAATAGCAATAACTCCTTCTTTGTGTTCGCCATTGCTTTATGATATTTATGGAGGTTCATATACATAATTTATGGCTCTAGAAGGAACATAAAGAAGGTTGTGTAGGGTATAACATGCTCCTTACTAAATTATTTCCCGCGTCTTACGAGTCGCTTGTGGAACATAATAACACTGCGTGGACATCATGGCCCCATTTATTTTATCCGAGTTTGGAAAGGTAACAAGACTTGATCGACTTGAGAATGGTCCAGGACGGACCGAAACGTCATCGTCCCTTCACCTTCTAGTGTGTGGTTTAGTCAACAAAGGTAACAAGGATGGTCTGAGTGAGGAAATGTTCAGGTCGAAACCGCTTATGATGAAACGTACGAGGTCGGTAAACCCTGCAATCTATTTTTTTTTTTTTTTGCGGGGTAGAAAAGAGTGTAGTTTTCACTGACCCGCAGGTCAACGTATACTATTCTGTTACTATTTAAGCTGACGTTATTTCCGTGTACTAAGTCCTATTTTGTGTATTAAGTCCTGTGCCAGTGTACCAACTCCTATTTATGTTTTCCGTGAATGTCATTACTGAGGTTTGGAAAGGGAGAGTTAATAGTAGTTAGAAATCCTTCTGCCAGGAATAAGACTGCTGCTAACAGATGCTAGACACCCTAACAGGAGTTATAAGTGATTACATGAGTAAGTAATTACTTACTCCTGTAATCACTACAGGAGTAGAAGCTGTCTGCTTCTGTACCAACTAGTTAAAGAAAAATAAATATCGTGTACGAGACTGTGTTTACTTTAGTTGTTCAGCACAGCTGATGTCGAGTACCTTCCTCTTATTAAATTATCTCACGCATGTCTTGGCTACTCCCGATGCTAACAAACATGAACCCAACCACAGAAATTTTCCTGTTAGAATTTTAATTAAATTAAATATAGAAACAGTGGCATACAATCTGCATTATACTTCATCGGAAGAAATAATTTGTTGTTAAGAAATCTTTTCTTTTCCCATCTTGGTAATTTTTTTAGAATGTGCGGTACAACAAGGCCTTAAAATATCAGGGGAAACAAACACATGCGTGGCCATAAAACACAGTAATGGCCCAGTCCGGCCCAGATTCTGTCCGTAACGCTGTACTGGGGATCCCGGAGCGAGCATTCATTGATCCGAGACCACTCCTAAATTCTTTCGGGAAAATTTATGCGCCGATGAAAACACGTGCCTTAAAACTATCTCCCATTATTTAAGGTAATTCACCAGTAACCTTAAAATTTGGCGAAGGCAGGGACAACAAAAAGTGGGAGAAGGCGTGAGGTAGTAAACCAGTGATTTGTTAGGTGAGTGAAAGAGCCAAACCACACAACAAACATGGTCTTCTCCCTTCCGGCAGACTATATAGCAAACAGACCTTGATAGACTCAATCTGACAAAGGGAACTATAGCGAAAACTATTTTTTTGTAAGGTCACCTACTGTTAGACTGACAGTCTACCCACCTTCCAAATAGCTGCCCAGCCTGCCTACCTACCTGCCTGCCTGCTGCCTCTGTCTTCCAACACCTTTGCCTGCCTGCTGTTCTTTATTCTTGATCACTTAGCCTGCCTACCTACGGCCTGTATGTTGCCCTGCCTACTTACCTTCCTGATCGCCTGCCTGCTGCCCTCTTTTCTAAATGCCTTCCAGCATGTGTGTTTGCTAGCCAGTCTTCCTACCTGCTGGCCTGCCCATATAGCTGCCTTTCCTCCCCAGGAACTCCTTCAAGACACCTAACTCCCCTCTGCATGTTCTCTCTCAGTAATCGAATTACTTTCCAATACTTTGTCGCTGGATTTCTTCGTGTTTTTATTTCCTTCGCCTTTTGTTATGGGAATATTTGCATTACAAAAACTTTTATTATTTCTGAAAGTTGAATTTTTCGCATGCGATAGAGAATAGGCATTCTTGAGTTTCTGCTTGGAAGATGTCACCAACTTTTGAAGAGAAACTCGCCTGAGTTTTGTTCTGGCAAGACTTGGGGGAAGGGGGGTGCCATAAATAATTGATAAACTTAAATTGGTTCTAGCAAGAAAGAACCTTTTTTTTTTATAAAAGTTCATGTTTTTGTGTACACGTAACAAATTCAAGTATATCTTACTTATTGTAGGATTAAATCGAGATGAAGTATTGTAGTTGATGAACTGAACAATTTGAAGGAAAGTATAGTAATCAAATACACACACACAATGAACATTCCATCTCAAAAACATCATACACAAACCCCCCACCACACACACTAACCTCTCGCCACACAAACCACACCAAACACCAAAAAGCCCCAACTCACACCCAAAATCCCAGCCTTAAACCCAAAGCCCCACCACACTCTCAAACTCATTTAAAAAAAAAGTCCAAAACCCCCACACCTTCCAACTATTTGCTCCACTCTCCCTCACACCCACATCTCAAAACTTAACATGCATGAGTTGTGGCAACCACACAAATGTTGCCGGTAAGCCCCGGACTTAGGCCATTGATTGGAAGGCATTAATCTAAATTGGACATGCGACAGGCCTGCCTGCCGCTCCTACTCTGATTTAAACAGCGATTCCGTGTCCTTCCCCGCCAGGTTTCCTCAACACGAGCCCAAATGGGAGCGGGCGAGGAGTGGTGGGCAACCAGGGGCTCATGGACCAGCTGGCGGCACTCTCCTGGGTCAACGAGAACATCGTCCACTTCGGCGGAGACCCTACCAGGGTGACTCTCTTCGGGCACTCCTCCGGTGCCGCCTGCATCAACTACCTGATTGTCTCTCCAGTTGTGGTGCCAGGTCAGTCTAGGACGTTCATCAAGTGATACTCGAAGTCATATCTTATTAACCCGATTTGGCAGATCACTTAGTTTTGGTGCTTATATCGTAGGTGCTGGGTTATTTATTATTATAATATCTATACCCATAACAGAGCATGCCTGTCTGTCTGCCCAGAGGTGGGAATGGGGCATATTTAACAACATATGTTTACAAGAAAGACTGCTACCAAAATATACTAATATATATATATATATATATATATATATATATATATATATATATATATATATATATGTATATGCACATAATCAGGTTAACCATACCACGCGCAGCTGAGTCGCAGACAGGAGAGCGGATGATTTCAATATAATCTAAAAGTCAATGAGGCCATAAAGTGAATAGCCCTTCTGATAAAATCCTGCAGAGTCATGGGCCGGAGGGCTGAGATCAGCCAGCCATGCAAATTTCCTTTACTATATCTTGTCGTTCACCTAAGAAAAATATTTGTTTATAACTCAAAAATGGGTTACATATTTTTTTCTGTAATAAGTGAATTATTGCTAAATTCAGTGTTTAAGTTTAAATTTCGTGTAAATCAGTTATTCATGCATGAATTTCAGCAAATATGAATAAAGCATTTTATATTAGCATGAGTTAAGCCACACGCAGTGCAAACCATGCAACTCATATTTATCTGCTTCTGCTTTCTTGCATATACACTTATATACAGCGTAAACTTGGAGAGCAAGTCGGAGAGTCACTGAAGTACGTAGGTACTACGAGTCACGACGTGTACCTGTTGCAGACTTATCAACCTCCAAAAAAAGAAATTCCCTACATAGGGAGCATTAATGGGTGTGAGCAGAGCATACTCGCTGGGTATTGTTGCTGTTTCGAGCAAAACCGCTACAATATGCATTTCACTGTCTTCAACATCTTTAGATCAGAGAGAAAGTGAACAAATTTTATTGATTGATGAAGATTAAGCCACCCAAGAGTTGGCACGGGCATGAATAGCTCGTAAGAACAAAATTCAGGCGGTGGTGTTCTCAACGTGGTATGGCCATTGGCACAAAATTCTATGTTGTTTCAGATTTAGCTACTCAGAACGAAGTGTCCATGTAGCACAGGCTATAGTGAGCCCCCCTCCCCCCCCCCGTAACAAAATTCAATGATGTGACAGTATATATATTCTATGCAATATTAGGTGAGGTGCTACCCAGTCGAAAGGACTGAGCAATATTTTCCTTAATTCTCGTTGGTCCGTTGAGGCAGTTGGTATTAAAACTTACCTAACTCTAAGCTGGCTGATGATAATGGGATGAGAATGCTTAATTTGTAAAACTTTGGCTATGTCTAATTTCCTACAGTACTTGTACCTATTGATTGTTTCAATGCTGCTGGTCAGGATATCGTTGGTGATGATCAGCTTGTGTTTATAAATTGTAAATTCTTTGATAGATCCTTGTATTTTGTATGTATTTAACAGTGCCTTGAAAAGAGATATTGCTGTCTTGCCTATATATTGAGATCGTTTAGACTGACAGTCACCCAAGTGAACATGTATCGGCATTTATGACAATTGTCTCCTTCAACTCCTTTCCTTAGGTGTATGGCGAAGTCTTTACGTGCCAGTTAGTAGGGCTATTTAATTATTGTCGTACATGATGAACTGTGTCTTCTGCTTAGTGCTGGTGTCACGTTTCTGTTCACTTTGTCTTTCAAGGCTCTTTCCGCCGCCTTTTGCGCCACAGGTGAGAAAGATTTTATAGTGTTAGCCTCTTTATTAGTGGGAGATGGCGCTTCACCTTCCCTTTATGACCACTTCCACACAACCGTTATTGACTACGACCTTCATAACTGATTTCCTTGCCAGCCTGCTTCCAGCTGGAACTGTAACAGCACGATTAAACATATACGTATAAAAAGAAGTTCGTTTGTACTGGTCAGGGCACTTAATACTATTCGAGATTGTTACATTCACGAAAGGCAAGTTGCTTTCACTCTCTCGTAAGTGAAATTCAGCACCGACTTTCTACATTAGCAGAGGCATCAGTATCTTGTTTGTTGTGATCAGGTTAAGGTTCTCAAGTGTTGTGAAATTTAGAACTTTTCGTCATTCTTCTAGAACATAAATCTCTAAATGATGATAACATTCGTGTGTGTCGATGTGTGTGCAGCTACACAAATAGGCACTGAGATTGTTAAACGGATGTAATAAAAATAAATTATCTTATCCCTCACTGTTATATGAAGTGACAGACAATAATATATAGCCACACATGCTTAGCACTTTCATATGATTAATACTTATTAATTTTAATTCACTCCCAATTGTCTTTGGTTCAGGACTATTCCACCGGGCGGTGCTGATGTCAGGATCAGCGCTGAGTCCATGGGCGGAGGTGCAGGACGCTCTCTCCGTCACGGCCCGTCTGGCAAAACACCTCAACTGCTCCCTCCCCACCAACCTCAGCGATCGACACCCAGAAACCATGGCGTGTCTTCGTAACGTGTCGGCCCAGCGGCTGGCCACAGTTAGCCTGCCCGAGTACAAGTTTACCTCTATGTTTGGTCCCAGCGTCGATGGGGTGGTTGTGCCTGAGGACTTCAAGACACGGCTCAGCAGGGTAAGTAAAAATGGATTGAGATTTATTTCTACGGTTTAAGGTTGGAAGTGAAAGAGAACTTAATATATATTCCATTCCGCGTTTCCCTCTTGAATCAAATACAAATACATTGGATTGTAAAGCATATAGCAAAGAGAGAACAAGAAAAATCACAGTAAGTGTGGAAGGAAAGAGATAAAGTCAATAGGAGCAACCAGGACTGCAAAACTCAACCCGGATCAAACACAAGAAAGAGTGGAAAGCTAACAAACCAGCAGTGTGTGACACAGGATAACAAGAGAAAGTTGGAGGAAGATCCCGGTAAAAGCACGAGAAAAGGGAAGGTCGTCCGCTAGCTGTATTGAATTAAGGGGAAAAGAGAGCCGAGAGCAAGGCGTCCCGGAGCGGAGTTCTCTCCAGAGATCTTGTTTCAGCAAATAAGTCTCTGCAGACCTATCGAACCAGTGCTGTTAGCCGTTGTTTTGTGAGCGAATGCTGCAAGACACAATACTCACAATGTAGGGATGGGGAAGTTTGTGTGACGGGCTATGTAGGTATGAGCCCCTGTGTGTGTGTGTACTCACCTAATTGTGCTTGCGGGGGTTGAGCTCTGGCTCTTTGGTCCCGCCTCTCAACCGTCAATCAACAGGTGTACAGGTTCCTGAGCCTATTGGGCTCTATCATATCTACACTTGAAACTGTGTATGGAGTCAGCCTCTACCACATCACTTCCTAATGCATTCCATTTGTCAACCACTCTGACACTAAAAAAGTTCTTTCTAATATCTCTATGGCTCATTTGGGCACTCAGTTTCCACCTGTGTCCTCTAGTGCGTGTGCCCCTTGTGTTAAATAGCCTGTCTTTATCTACGCTATCAATTCCCTTGAGACTTTTGAATGTGGTGATCATGTCCCCTCTTCCTCTTCTGTGTGTGTGTGTGTGTGTGTGTGTGTGTGTGTGTGTGTGTGTGTGTGTGTGTGTGTGTGTGTGTGTGTGTGTGTGTGTGCTCATATATCAGTACTTATCTATCAGTGACTGCGGGGTGGTGAGGTCTAGCTCCCTATGGGGCATAGGGAGCTTATTCTCTTGTTGTAACTGTTGCGATATAGCTTAACTATTCTGAAGCTGAAATTCTTTATCGTGTCGTGTCTTAAAGTGGTGGATGGAAGTGGACTCCAAAACCTTATCCTCCTAGTACATTCCATAAGTTTAGTGAAATTTTCTAAAACGTTCTAACAAGTTTAATGAAAGTTTCTAAAATGCTCGAACAAATTTAGTGAAATTTATTTTTAGAATTGGAATTTATTATTTAGAATTTTAGAATATAGAATTTCCAAACAGGTTTTGTGAGTTACAGCTCATAGCGTCTACTGATTTTCTCACTACTTCAACAATTACACAAACTGCTCACCCTTCCAAATACTAATTCTACTTCTTGTGTAACAATAAAAGTAGTGCTACAACCACTTGTAAAATTATTTTTTGTTTCAATGATACGTAACAAAAATAACAACACAAATAATAGTAATTTAAAGCACATACTGCTCCGTTACGAACTTTGTTAACCATAAGAAAACATCTCGGCTACCCACTTCCAGGCCGCAGCGCACGTCATTTCCCCGATAATAATGGCATTAATTCCGTAAACCAAACATGAACCTTGAGAAGCGGGCGGTCGAAGCCATGCGAATCCTGTGAGAGGAGGTAACCAAGGTGGAATAGTAATGATAATTTACTTCATTTAAGTTCACGTACCATTCATAATGCTTCCTGATTATTCATACAGACTTACTGACCGGAAAAGCTGGGGGCTAAGTTTCCTTACTGCCCACCCGCCTACTCTCTGGCTAGGGGAATTTCGACCTTATACACAGCAGAATGGATGTTGTTGCTTTGTTCCTAACCTCATCCTTACGCCCACTCACTGAATTAATTTTCCTGAACACTGCTGACAATCCTCACGATCTAATTATCAACGGCGAATGTTTGTAAATGTATAATGAACACTGGAATTTCATGCTGGTTTACCTACTTGGAAAAATAAACAGATGACTATATTAATAACAGTGGATTATATTAATGACAGTGGATTATATTATTAGCTGCTGATTATATTGATGACAGTGGATTATATTAATGACATTGAGTTATACTGATGGCAGTGGATTATGCAGAGGACTGTGGATTATATTAATAATAGTTGATTATATAGATGGCAGTGGATTATAATAATGGCAGTAGATTATTTTAATGACAGTGGATTATATTAATGACTGGATTATATAGATGGCAGTGGATTAAAATAATGGAAGTGTATTGTATTATGAGTAGGAGATTATATTAATGACAGTGGATTATATTAACGACAGTGGATTATATTAATGAACGTGGATTATAATAAAGACAGTGAATTTTAATCATGGTAGTGAGCATATGCTCTTGCCTATGCATAGTTGAGTGTGCTTGAAAGCACTTCTCACCAGGTCACTGAACGTCTCCCTGAACCATCCACCGTTGATGAGAACCTAATCAAGCACTAGTTTGAAGAAGATTGTAATTTTTTCTTCCTCACCTCACACACAAGAGCGCCACATAAAGTATGCAAATGATGTACAATGTCATGCATAAGTTTAATGTTCAGCGCTCGAGGTTTGATTAAGGCGATACATACATTATTCTCTCTCTCTCCCTTAATCTGATTAAGATAAGAATTGTGATCAGCGGGAGACGAGTGATCGTTGCATAAACAATAGTATTAGAAAATAGCAAGGAATTCAACAACGTCATTTGGTCAAGAGTTTGAGGTAAGAGAAGACACGGGTCAAAGTCTTCACCTCCCCATACCTCATAACAAGCCTGATATTCACAAGTCAATATTGTTCATCAATTTCGACTGATGAAATTGAATGTTTACACACAGAAATCACAAAAGCGTGATGCATCAAGTGAACAAATCCGCAAGGGCCGTGACGAGGATTCGAACCTACGTCCGAGAGGATCCCATACGCTGCCTTAATCGACTGAGCTTTCGATTTCGACATGGAAAAGAATTGCAACCGGAAGTTCTACTGACCTTACTTTGAACAACATCCACTATTTATTTTGACCTTTAAAACTGTCCTCAGAGCCATATTGTACCAGCTGAGTGACGAACGGTCTTCCTCTCTGAATATCTCCTCTTGTATGTGCGTGCGAACGTTGTACTCTCTCCCTCCCACCATCCTTACCTCACCATACCCACTATCCCTTCCAGGTGCTGGAGGGAAGACAGATGAGCGTCCTCTTCGGTGTGACGGAAGCGGATGGCTATCCTGAACTCAACAGCAAGCAGGCTACCGACGGCTTGGACGTGCAGGAGCGTAACCGCTTGCTCAGGACCTACGTCAGGAACATCTATCACCACCACCTGCAAGAGATCTACCTGGCCATCACCAAGGAGTACACGGACTGGGGCAACCCGGCGCAGCATCCCGTGCAGGTCTGTGTCGTGTTATGTTGTTGTTATTGTTGTTATATATTCAGCTACTCGGAACAAACAGTTCCAAGTAGCACAGGCTATGGTGAGCCCGTAGTGGATTTATCTGGCACAGGAGCGGGACTGTAACTTTGTGTTTGTAGCAGCATCACTACTATTTATGTCCCGCCCGGGATTCGAACCCGGAATTATCGATTGTGAGTCGAAATCGAACTCGACTGTACTACCAAGCGTTTGTAGCAATACTGGAGAATAACATAAATTTCCTTGAACGAAAACAGGGAAGGGTGAGAAAGTCAGTCCCAGGAATTAGAACCTCTCGTATTAAGTGAGATTACTAAAGATTAATTTACATTCGCCAAAACGACGTAGAGGAAAAGATGAAAAGAATTGAATATATAAATGAATGAAGTTGTACAACAAAGAGGATAGTATCAAGGATTTAAATAATTATTCCATAAATAGAACAAGAAACAATACAAATAGGGATAGCTGGATGGTTTTAAGCAAAGGTTAAACTTATATACCTAAATTACTTTTGGTGCAAATAAATAGTAGTCTACATGGCCCAATAGGCTGGCTGAAGTTCTCTTTATTCTTCTTATACCCCTATTATTATTCCATTATACCCCAGGGTAATGGACCCCAGGGAAGTGTACCCCAGAGTAGTGTACCCCAGGGTAGTGTACCCCAGGGTAGTGTACCTCAGGGTAGTGTACCTCAGGGTAGTGAACCCCAGGGTAGTGAACCCCAGGGGAGTGTACCTCATGGTTAGTAATTTCCGGTGTAGAATTCCTAACATTCGGTGTTCTACTATTCGACCAATCTCTTCACTCGATTTGTCACTACTTAAAATATTTAACTATTTTATTAACCCAGAAAGCCATGACCCTCAGCAACCCACCTAACGTATCAGGGTTGCTACATTGATAAAAAATATTACACGCCATAATTTTTTTATTACGTCGAATTTTTAACGAATTGGTCGATTTCGTAAAGTATGGGACGCATTTGGGGAGAAGACGGGTTTCATACGGGTCCACACCCCGCGTCACAATGCATCCAACTCCTGCAGCTTCCTAGAAATGACCAGTCAATTATTATTGGTTCCGAGGCTAAACGTTCACGTGCCGAGATAAACGCTTTGAAGATAACAAGCTGAAGGACGTCATTGAGACGTTGTTGGAGTAGCAGTTAAAAGGCATTTATAAGTCTGGTACAATAAGCTTGAGGGACAAGTGCAGTAGGTGTAATGATGTGAAAAGTGACTGGTTGGCTCAACGGAGGAATCATTTCTTGCTGGTCATATTTCGATCTCCGATGGTCCAAGTTGTTAGAACCCCCCCCCCCCCCCTACCCATGCCTTATGTCCTTTTACAGTTCCTTGTCCTCATATCACTTTCAATAACTGTGTAGTTATACTGGCTTAGCGCTTTCTCCTCATGATTACCTTACTGTTTATTTACTTAAACTGAAGCATTAAATATCAATCGTGACTAATTTTAAAATTATATAATCAGTTTGTATAATGTTTTTTGCTCATCTGTATACATATAAGCAAATTTTTACATGGAGCGATGAAATACGAATTTGCATTGGTTCTTATCATCATGCGTTAATTGCATAATTACTAATTTGCTGAGTTGAATCACGAAAGAAAAAATATTTTATTAGCTCTAAACATGTTGACCGCCGGAGATAAAATATCATGGCGCCACATTTGCCTCCAGCCAAATTATTCCCATGTAAACTGCATCAACACAATTATACTCAAGCTAAAATTATATTCTGTCTCTAATTTGATATTAAAGTGATTAAGTGCACAGAGCGGCTTTCTAATATCACAATATAAGTGGAGGCATGAAAGGCTCTCTCATATTCGCTGTATATAACCCTCCTAATTGTGTTTTTTATCGTTATATTCAATCGAGAGAATTATTTCCGAGCCACTGATAGTGATCCAGATGTATAATAATATTCTGAAAGGTTATTTATTAGTTAATATTCTTTATAATGTATTTTAGGTAGTGTTATAAATTGTATATATACAGCGCTCAGATGAGACAAACTTAGCATATTACTAACAATACATTTGAAATAATTAAAAAAAAATTACTGCTATTAGGCTAAAAAATTTACCTATTTTTATAAATGAAATATTTTTCTGTCTTGTAGAACTTAATTAACGAGAGAATGACTTAATTAACTACGTATAATTAAAAACATTAAAGAGTATATCATACATAAAAATATATCGTTTGAATATTCACTGGGAACTGGATAGATCATTATATTTAGTAAATAAAACTCTATACTAAGTATTTTTTTAGAACATTTTAGTCGACTTCTGCTAAATTTCTTCCCTGTACACTCGTATATGTTTTATGTAAACTTTTCATCAAACATTAATTGTATTAGCGAGAAGTATATTAATGCAGATTTACCTCATTACTACGGCCACCCAGGAGTGTTCTTTAAACAAGATTATGAGTCTGCTAACTGGAGTCTACTAATCCCTAACTAATACAGCAAATGTTCTGCATACAATTTACTTACGTAAACAGACTCAATTAATTTAATTTATACATGATAATAGAACAAGGTCATATAAGTCAAGGCGATTAGTGAAAAGATATGCTATTTTTGAGAGGAAGATACACGGTAAAGACATGAGATTGGTGATTGGATCACACATGTTAGAGACGTAATTTTGGCGAGACAACAATAAGAACTGAATGTATGAGTTTGGCGAGAGGAAAATACCCAATTAAGACATGAATTCCGAGAGAGGATGATGCTCATCAAAGACATGATTTTTGGTTGGGGGATAATATGGGACTCTGCATGTTGATACAGGTACGAGACTTGACGGTGGAGGCGCTGAGTGACGGAGGGTACCTAGCGCCTCTTGCTAAGTTTGGGGAGACGATCAGTGGACGGGCAGACGCCTACATGTACGTCTTCAACCACCACGAGAAAGACCGCCAGGTTGGTATCGACTTGAATACAGCTTGGATAGATTTAGATGACGTAAAGAATGATGTACTGTGAAAGTGGAATTGCCGATTAATATTTGTTGATGATGCAATATTGTATTGTTTGTCGCTTATCTGAGACGACAAAGGTTAACTTTTTCATCCTTGGGTTCCCACAATGCAATTTCATTAGCATCATAATTATTAAAACACAGTATACCTCGTACATTCTTCGAGTAGCATATTGAACATCTCATCAGTTATAACATTCACTTTGTTCTCCTCGGTGTTCAGCGGTTGGGCAGTGTGTTCGGATCAGAGGTGCCACTGGTGTTCGGAGCACCATTCATGGACAGCCCGGGCCACTGGACCACCAACTTTACCAGACCCGACGCCCTCGTCTCCGAACTCATCATGAGGTACTGGACCAACTTTGCCAAATCTGGGTAAGTTGCTCGCCCATGACATAACGTGTCTTGCATGCAAAGTTTACCTTAAACGGTAAGGTTGGATACTCTCAAACTTTAAAATGAATTGTAACTGATTCAGTAAAGAACAAAAATACATTGAAAATTAATGAAAATAAAGTACTGTATATAAGAACTATATTTTAACTCTATAACACGTTCAGAATTCCAAAGAAAACCAATTCTGTGCAAATCCCATATTTTGTGCAGTTAGTGCATTAAATCGGAGGACGACAACAGAGATTAAGAAGACGGGGAGAGAAAATTTGAGAGGACAGAGGGATTTGGTAAACTGGCTTACAGTCAGGCAGAACTCACCACAATGGCCAGTTACACTAGAATGAAAATTGACATAAATACGATTTGGCTGAGAAGTCTATTGTCGCACCTCTGTCGTAAAGGGAAATGCAGCTATGAGGGAAAGGGAGTAATAACACCTGTACTGCGATTAGGACCTTCAGCTCTGGGATTGTAGCTATGAGGGGAGGAATACTTCACCTGTACTGACGTCAGGGCCTCGGCCCTCAGGAATTGCAGCTGAGTGGGACGATTTCAACGCCTAAGCGGAGGCCATGATTTATGTAACAGGATTAGCGACTGAAAGGAGATACTACTACACTCAAACAAAGATCAGGCGTAATGTAAGAGAACTACTGGGGTTAAAAATTCCACCAGAGTACTGTAACAATGGTGGTGTGCTGTTCTCTCCTCAGGGACCCCAACCTACCGGAGGAGGTGAAGCCTGTGCTGAGCTACAAGGAGAGGGAGAGGACCAAGCAGCGCAACATCACCTGGGAACCCTATGAAGCCATTTACGAGAAGTACCTTGAGATAAGTGAGTCCTCAGGCTTTCCCATATTGTTTATAGACGATTATGTTATCATAGGTAATCTTGAGGTTATCTTGAGATGATTTCGGGGCTTAGCGTCTCCGCGGCCCGGTCCTCGACCAGGCCTCCTTTTTGTTGCACACACCCAGGAAGCGGCCCGTAGCAGCTATCTAACTCCCAGGTACCAATTTACTGCTAGGTAACAGGGACATCAGGGTGAAAAACATTTTGCCCATTTGTCTCCGCCTCCACTGGGGATCGAACTCAGGACTACGAATCCGAAGCACTGTCCACTCAGCTGTCAGGCGCCCTCAGGTAAGCGGAATGAAATTAATAGACCACAAACAGAGTGCATACGGGCAATGTGTGAAACCCTGACTGGGCTTCAGTGGAAGCCTCAGGACCCCTTGAGGATTCAATTGAATCCCATGATGCATTGTTTTTTACCATGTTCTGATGTAGTGGTCTAAAGCGTGTACTAGGGAGTACCCGCCGTGCAGGTTCGAGTCCTTCTCATTAATCCTACTTATTTCCTCATTGTGTCTCTCACATATTTTCTCATTACGTTAATGTGAGTTCTTTAAACATTATTATTGCTATTATCATTATTATCGTTGCCGTTAATATTATCATACCGTTACATAATTTAATACAATTATAACCTACATAAGTAATTTTTGTTTTATGATATGGTTTCGCTTGCAAAGATAATGAATCCCCAATAATTACCCAGTGTTCCCTTACAACGGCCTGCCGCGTACCTCACCAGTTTGCTGCATGATTGTGGGTAGTGGCCTACACAACACTGATCACCTCATATATATTCTGAAATGTGGAAAAATTAAAAACTAAATTAGGATGAAATGCTTGAACCGCAGGCTCATTTTCCGATCGCATCATTAATCAAGCAGCCTCTGTGCGGGGCCGCTGTTAAATTGTATAATGTCATTGGAGTGATGTAGTGGCGGTCGGCGAGGCTGCCGTCGCTGGGGAAAAAAGAATAGTATGGAAAATTTTGTTACACAATGCACGCCCCGCTATCATTCATTGTCAGGTAATGTGCGGTGGGATTATATATATATATATATATATATATATATATATATATATATATATATATATATATATATATATATATATGTGTGTGTGTGTGTGTGTGTGTGTGTGTGTGTGTATGTATGTATGTATGTGTGTGTGTGTGTGTGTGTGTGTGTGTGTGTGTGTGTGTGTGTATGTGTGTATATATATATCACGAAAATAAACACGTGATTAAAAATGTGAGTGTCACATTTTTCCTCCGTGGTCTGACACTGTCATATATATATATATATATATATATATATATATATATATATATATATATATATATATATATATATATATATATATATATATATATATGTCGTACCTAGTAGCCAGAACTCACTTCTCAGCCTACTATTCAAGGCCCGATTTGCCTAATAAGCCAAGTTTTCATGAATTAATTGTTTTTCATCTACCTAACCTACCTAACCTAACCTAACTTTTTCGGCTACCTAACCTAACCTAACCTAACCTATAAAGATAGGTTAGGTTAGGTTAGGTAGGGTTGGTTGGGTTCGGTCATATATCTACGTTAATTTTAACTCCAATAAAAAAAAATTGACCTCATACATAATGAAATGGGTAGCTTTATCATTTCATAAGAAAAAAATTTGAGAAAATATATTAATTCTGGAAAACTTGGCTTATTAGGCAAATCGGGCCCTGCATAGTAGGCTGAGAAGTGCGTTCTGGCTACTAGGTACGACATATATATATATATATATATATATATATATATATATATATATATATATATATATATATATATATATATATATATCCCTCTAACTATTTTCTTAGCATCAGGGCTTAATTGGAATAGGAGTTCTCCAAAACTCATTTTCGTACTTTTAAGGTGAAGAAAAGAAGTGATTTACTATAGAGTGTATTACACTTATTTGTATAATTTGCACGACGTTTCGAACCTCCATGGTTCATTCTCAAGTGAACAATCTTACAATACTAGTTGATTTTATACCCGCATTAGGTCAGGTGATAATACAATGAAGGTGAAAAACATGGGGGGATACATAAGGGATAAACATAGGGGCTGCAGAAGGCTTATTGGCCCATACGAGGCATCTCCTATCTAAACACAAAGATTAATCCAGTGTAATTGGCCTGTTATGTTGGACATTGTCTTCTGTGTTGGCATCGATATGTTCTTGTCTTGTCCTTACTCTCATGGTGGGTAGAGTAAATAGTTCCGTGATTTGGGTGTTCATGGTAGGTCGCTCTATTCTTATGTGAATTGCCTCAAGAATTTGTAATCTTCTTGAATCTTGGGTTTTGTCTATTATGCAAGTATTCTTGTTCAACATTTCTCTTGTTAGAGTAATGTCCTGGGCTTGTCTCATGTGATTCCTAGGGGCACCAGATTGAAGATGGCATGTCAAACGCCTCGTCAGCTTGGTCGACGTCATACCTATGTACTTACATTGAAGGTTACATCCTTCGTGGGGGCAAGTGTACAAGTATACAACGCTTGACTGCTGTAGAGGGTTCTCCGTCGGCTTCGGGCTGTTTTTGATAAGGAGTTCGGAAGTCTTCTTGGTTTTGTAGAATATTATCAGGTTTATGTTTTGGTTAGGAGTAGTGCTTTTTACTCCTTTACGGATTATTTCTTTCATTATTCTTTCCTCTTTTATATGTTCACTGTGCATGGTTGATTTGTAATATAATTTTATTGGGGGTGTTGTGGTTTCTGTTCTAGGTTCTGAATTATACCAACGGTCCAAGTGTCTTCTTATAGCAGCGTTTATTTCCGCGTTGCTATATCCGTTGTTCACCAATACCTGAGTTACTCTTTCAAACTCTCTACTCACGTTGCTCCATTCAGAGCAGTGGGTAAGCGCTCGACGAATATAAGCATTGAGAACACTGGCTTTGTATCTTTGGGGGCACTCACTTCTACCGTTCAGGCATAATCCTATGTTGGTGGGCTTGGTATATACGTTGGTGCTTAAAGAGGTTCCTGTTTTTGTTATTAGTACATCCAAGAATGGCAGACTGTTATTTTCACTATTTTCATGTGTAAATCGGAGTACTGACTCTCTCTCTAGGTGTCTTTTTAGGTCAATTAGTTCATCTGAGTCTTTTACTATTACGAATATGTCATCTACATAACAGCAGTATACAGTTGGTTTTTGTCTGCTACTGAAGACCCTATCTTCGATGGTTCCCATATAAAAATTAGCAAATAAAACTCCTAAGGGGGAGCCCATTGCTACTCCGTCTATCTGTAAATACATGTCTCCTTGTGGACTGATGAAAGGGGCTTCCTTTGTACATGCTTCGAGAAGACTTTTCAAGTGTGGCTCAGGTATGTCTAATTTGGGGGTGCTCTCGTCTCTGTATACTCTGTCCAGTATCATTCCTATGGTTGTGTCGACTGGGACGTTGGTAAAAAGGGATTCAACGTCCAGGGAAGCGATGATTCCATTGGGCTGGGTAGATTTGATCAATTCTAGGAAATCTGCTGATGATTGTAGACTAAACTTACTTGGAGTGTATGGAGTTAGGAGTTCATTGAGTTTTTTTTTGCCAGGTGATAAGTTGGGGTTGGTATTTGGCTGATTATAGGGCGTAGTGGGTTACCTGGTTTATGCGTCTTAACATTGCCGTAGGCATATCCTAAGCCATAGTCGCCTTGAAGTTTATTGAAATGCACACTACCTTTCTTTGCGTTGATTGCTGTAATTGTTTTGTTTACTTTCCGCTTAAGGTCTTCTACGGGGTTCCTCGTGATTCGTTGAAATTTGGAGTCGTCACTTAGGATGTCGCTAATTTTGTTCATGTATTCATGGGTAGGAATCAATACATATGCTGCTGTTTTGTCGGCTTTTCTTATTGTTACGTCTTTCAGATTTTTTAGTTGTTTCGCTGCTTCTTTGAGTCGTGGGGTTAAGATTGTAGATGAATATGTTCCTCGTTTTTTCCCTGCTTCTGCAAGTAGTTCAGCTTGAAGTGTGTCCGTGGTGATGACTTTTTTGTTGTCTTCTAGCTTATGGATATCGTCCAGAAGCATTTCGATTTCCAGGCGTTTTTGATGCATCTTTGGTTTAGATAAGAATTGACAATTTAGACCAAGATTTAAGAGGTCTCGTTGGTCCTGGGTAAGATCATAAGAAGTCAGGTTAAAGTAGCCATCTTTAGGACGAGGGATTTTTAGCTGTCCACCGTTTAGGGATGTTAACTTACGGAGTGTCTTTGTTTCTACAAGAGTTTTATGTTGTTGTTTCAGGTTAAATAGTTCACTGTTGATGGTTTGCTTGAGTTATGCTTGTTGCTTGAGACTCAGATGAACTAATTGACCTAAAAAGACACCTAGAGAGAGAGTCAGTACTCCGATTTACACATGAAAATAGTGAAAATAACAGTCTGCCATTCTTGGATGTACTAATAACAAAAACAGGAACCTCTTTAAGCACCAACGTATATACCAAGCCCACCAACATAGGATTATGCCTGAACGGTAGAAGTGAGTGCCCCCAAAGATACAAAGCCAGTGTTCTCAATGCTTATATTCGTTGAGCGCTTACCCACTGCTCTGAATGGAGCAACGTGAGTAGAGAGTTTGAAAGAGTAACTCAGGTATTGGTGAACAACGGATATAGCAACGCGGAAATAAACGCTGCTATAAGAAGACACTTGGACCGTTGGTATAATTCAGAACCTAGAACAGAAACCACAACACCCCCAATAAAATTATATTACAAATCAACCATGCACAGTGAACATATAAAAGAGGAAAGAATAATGAAAGAAATAATCCGTAAAGGAGTAAAAAGCACTACTCCTAACCAAAACATAAACCTGATAATATTCTACAAAACCAAGAAGACTTCCGAACTCCTTATCAAAAACAGCCCGAAGCCGACGGAGAACCCTCTACAGCAGTCAAGCGTTGTATACATGTACACTTGCCCCCACGAAGGATGTAACCTTCAATGTAAGTACATAGGTATGACGTCGACCAAGCTGACGAGGCGTTTGACATGCCATCTTCAATCTGGTGCCCCTAGGAATCACATGAGACAAGCCCATGACATTACTCTAACAAGAAAAATGTTGAACAAGAATACTTGCATAATAGACAAAACCCAAGATTCAAGAAGATTACAAATTCTTGAGGTAATTCACATAAGAATAGAGCGACCTACCATGAACACCCAAATCACGGAACTATTTACTCTACCCACCATGAGAGTAAGGACAAGACAAGAACATATCGATGCCAACACAGAAGACAATGTCCAACATAACAGGCCAATTACACTGGATTAATCTTTGTGTTTAGATAGGAGATGCCTCGTATGGGCCAATAAGCCTTCTGCAGCCCCTATGTTTATCCCTTATGTATCCCCCCATGTTCTTCACCTTCATTGTATTATCACCTGACCTAATGCGGGTATAAAATCAACTAGTATTTTAAGATTGTTCACTTGAGAATGAACCATGGAGGTTCGAAACGTCGTGCAAATTATACAAATAAGTGTAATACACTCTATAGTAAATCACTTCTTTTCTTCACCTTAAAAGTACGAAAATGAGTTTTGGAGAACTCCTATTCCAATTAAGCCCTGATGCTAAGAAAATAGTTAGAGGGATAGAAGCCCTAAATCAGAAAATAATAAATACAGAATATGCGGTCATATTCAATGAAACATGTTTGAAAGAAAACCTGCTGCCAGTATACACCAATATATATATATATATATGTTTCATTGAATATGACCGCATATTCTGTATTTATTATTTTCTGGTCATATTCAATGAAACATGTTTGAAAGAAAACCTGCTGCCAGTATACACCAATATATATATATATATATATATATATATATATATATATATATATATATATATATATATATATATATATATATATATATATATATATATATATATAGGCTGCCACTTTTGACGTTTGCGATCTGTCTGCCCTCGTGGGAACACATTTTTTCTAAACGATGTGATTTCTGAAAATGTGAGAGTAGAGATGAATATATTTTTAATATCTCGTAATAAAAATTTAGATTAGTGGACGCTGTCCGTGAGAGTTAATTTCCATGACGTGAGATTTTCGTTATTAATAATGAGTAAAAAGTCTAGAAATTTTAAAATTGAGGAAAGATATGTGAAATATAGAGTTTTGTAATGTGAAATCTACTTTCCTGAAATATATTTGGTTGTCAACGATGTAGAGAAACACTCGAGTGAGGAATCACTAATGCTTGGGTTAGGGGTTAAACGCTCGGTTAAGGGTCTGACAGCGCTTCTGATTCGTAGTCCTGAGGTTCCGGGTTCGATCCCCGGTGGAAGCGGAAACAAATGTGCAAAGTTTCTTTCACCCTGATGCCCCTGTTACCTAGCAGTAAATAGGTACCTGGGAGTTAGACAGCTACTATAGGCTGCTTTCTGGAGGGGGGTGTAACAGAAAGGGGGCCTGGTCGAGGACCGGGCCGTGGGAACGCTAAGCCCCGAAATCATCTTAAGATAACCTCAAGAGATAGGGGTCACTAATACTACGGCGAATCACTAATACTGAGGTGAGGGGTCACTAGCGCTCGAGTGAGGGTCACAAACGGTCGGTTGAACGTCACTACAGCTTGGTTTAGGGTCACTAATGGTTGAGTGAAGGTCACTAACACTCGGGTGGGGTTACCTTAAATAATAGCAATCCTCTCATAAATCATCTGTATGAGATCGTTTTGAAAAAGCAATCCCAATCCTTAGGTTACAGTTTGCTCTCGTTATACTTTTTAGTAGATAAGACAGTGTGTGTGTATTATTAAACATGACCGATAATTATATCCAAAGTTCTTTCCAAAGGAAAGGACTTTGGATAACTTTCCATTGGAAAGGACAAAGGAACTTTCCAAAGTTCATTTTACAATGTAATTGCGCTTAACATGTTTCGATCAAGTATGTGTTTCGTTAAAGGTCACATCTTCTAATGCAGAAAGGAAATGTAAATACATTAGCAGAAGAAATGATATATATTCCATGTAGGATGAGTTGAGGTGTTACCTAATCGGCATCGGGTTAGCAGGCGAAGCGTAAGCTGGAAATTCTGTAGTAGAAAGTACCTAGGTGTAAGTTGGTTATATAAATAGCTCAGTTCCCCATGATGTGTAAGTTGGTTAAAATTAGATGAATACTTAGTGTAGTGTGCTTCAGCTATGTCTAATCTTCTAATGTTGTTATATCTATCGATTACTTCGGTGTTTGTGACCATTAACTACCTACCAGACTCTCAGTCAGCTATCAATATCCACCTTATACTTAGATACGTCCCACTATTCTCAAGAGAGTTCGCACCACACCTGTTCCAGCCGACATCGTTTGGGTATTGAATGCATGTTCACCCCTTGTGTATCACCACTATTGTGTGGGTCAGGTTACCGGCCGCGCCTGAAGGACCACTACCGCGCACACAAGGTCGCCCTCTGGAACTGGCTTATCCCGGAGCTGGAGGAAGCCGGCTCCAAGTACCCGGACTCCGACGCAGAGGCCTGGCACGCCTCTGAGGACCCAAAGCACTTTATTGGCCCCGTCAGACCCCTGGACCCCTTCAGGTAAGTCCGCGTTGGAGTGACAAATCTTTCTGCACCAATGTTCTGATACAAAATTATATGCGTAGATTTCATAGCAAGTTCAGGGTTTTGATGTCACAGTAAATGGAAGGTACATAGCTGAGACACTCAGCTATGTATCTTTGAATAAATATTATAGATATGTGTAATATATTATCGCGCTGAGCGTGTTTGTTACCTACAGGTTCCTCCATACTACACACGTGACGTCGACGTCGGCCGCGCCAGCACTACCCACGCCCAGTGACGAATATCTGCCGCCTAACGTCAGCGCCGCCCACGGCAGCGTCACCCGTCCCGTCAATGTCTCGTCAGAAGTGGCACCGACTGGACAGTTACTCGACTACACCACCGCTCTCACCCTCACCGTGGCCATCGGCCTCTCCCTCCTGGTCCTCAATGCTATACTCTTCGCAGCGCTCATCTACAAACGGGACAGAAACGCCATGGGACCAAAAATCAAATACGACAGTGCATCAGCGCAGCCTTTGTGCACAGTAGACAGTGGGATGCGTTCTGTGTCCACTCACGAGGCTCTGTCTTCTCCCGTCAAGGACAACAAGTCGGCGTGCAATGTTGACCTGCAGTGCACAGAGCTGCACACTTTCCCCACGCCACCTGACATCGGTGACCGCAACACCGAGGTCACCTTTCACACCAGCAATTCGATGCACTCGTTACTATCCCAGCCGACCAGTCAGTTCATTCCGCCTCCGCCGCTCCTCGCTACGACGCCGCCCACCCCACCCGTAGCTGGCCAGCACGGCGAGGGCGGCCTCGAGTCCGGAGCGTGTGGGGGACCCAGGTGCTACTCGGACGTCAGCAATGGCCAGTACGCAGACGTCGGAGGGGGACAGTATCCTCCTGACGTAGGCCAGTACCCCTCGGAGATCAAAAGCGGACACTATCCAGAGATCAATCTCGAACAATACAGGAGTTCCGGTGGAGGCCAGTGTGTAGAGCCCAGCATCGCCGTGTACCCCGCCACGTCCAGCAGCTCGTGTCCCTCCTACCAGCCCCAGCACGCCCAGTACTGCTCCCACTACTCCGCAAGCGTCAGCCAGTACTCCTCCTCCACCGACCAATACTCCATTTCAGGGAGTCAATTTTCCAGTCCAGGAGCTCCGTGTGGGACCTCGACGTGTCAGTTCTCGGAGCCCGGGGTGCAGTGCCTCCCACAGTCGTCCTACAGCGACGACGGCCAGGACCTGATGGCTCCCAGGACTATCCGTAGTGCAACACTGCAGAGGGGCTCATCGTCCTCTTCGTCCTCGTCGTCTAGGAAGCCTCAGCCACCACCCCGCGGCTCCACGCTGCCCTCCTACGCTACTCTTCCTAGACACAGCTCAAAGGACTCACTTTCTCACATTAATGCATAATGTCATTCCACACACAAGACCACTAAGCTAAGGACGTCTAATTTGTTAATTAAGAGATAATAATTTAACGCTCAAGTACGACTGAAAACGGGTGACTTCAATTGTACACATTGGGGGATCTTTCACCCCATAGTATAGCGCTAGACTATGCTATCCGGACGACTAGTCAATTGAGTGGAATGTATTGATGAACTTAGGTAGGGTGGGCCTTCACAGCTGCTGTAGAAATTGTAGTGAGACGGTGAATACTGACAGCAGTGAACAGTGACACTGGCTAGACAGCGCCACTCTCCTTATGTGCAGTGTACAGACAACTATGATTTTAATCACCTATTCTTATATCAGCCGTGCGTGTGTGGGTGTATGTGTGTGTGTGTGCGTACCGTTCAGTTCCCCATCACATAGGTCTCACCTATACGCTACGAGTTACCAAACATCACCGTGTTTAAGAGTACGTGTCAAGGGCTGGAAGTAGGTCTTCCTACTTCCAAGACTGCACTGTATTTATCTCCTAATACCAATATGGGTAATATTTATTTAAATATTTTTTATGCTTATATTGATAACGAAAGTCATTATAGGCACTTTTTGGGTGGTATATAATTCATAGATTTTGAGATTCACCTGTTAATAATTTTATCTTACGTGTTGAGTGTTATAAAACAATCTAGCAAAAAATATAGAACATTTTTCTACATCTCGAAGCTCAGTATTCGTTCTCAGTTGTTTTACTTGTCAGTGGAAGAACGAATACTGTGATAATTTAGTGCACATTAGGTTGGCTTTTTATCATTCATTTGATTTTATGAAGCATCCTACTGTCACAATTAGTGTCTGGGTTGATTGTGGTGGTCTGTCACCTGACTGGCTATTTATGTAGCCTGTCACGTACCTCTGATCTAGTTATGGCGGACTGTCATATGTCGTCTCTGGTATAGCTATGGCGGACTGTCATATGTCGTCTCTGGTATAGCTATGGTGAACTGTCAAATGTCGTCTCTGGTATAGCTATGGTGGCCTGTCATATGTCTTCTCTGGTATAGCTATGGTGGACTGTCATATGTCGTCTCTGGTATAGCTATGGTGGCCTGTCATATGTCGTCCCTGGTATAGCTATGGTGGACTGTCATATGTCGTCTCTGGTATAGCTATGGTGGACTGTCATATGTCGTCTCTGGTATAGCTATGGTGGACTGTCATATGTCGTCTCTGGTATAGCTATGGTGGACTGTCATATGTCGTCTCTGGTATAGCTATGGTGGCCTGTCATATGTCGTCCCTGGTATAGCTATGGTGGACTGTCATATGTCGTCTCTGGTATAGCTATGGTGGACTGTCATATGTCGTCTCTGGTATAGCTATGGTGGCCTGTCATATGTCGTCTCTGGTATAGCCATGATGGCCTGCCACAGACCTCTGGGTTTACAATGTTGGTCTGCTAATAGCTGATAGCTTCAGTCACATCGCAAAAATCTATATTACGGCTACAAGGTTCAAAAGAAAAAGGCAATGTTGTGTGACAGTGAGGTATTTGAGTGCTCAGTGCAAGGTCTTTAACTGAACAAGATCATGTGCATTTATGGAAATATTATTTAATTTTGTAAATTCATTTTTTACTGGTGTTAGTTACTTTCGTTATTGGAAGCCATAATTGTTAAACATGATAATTATTATCACCGGTTATTATTATTGTTTTTATTGTTACTTAATACATACTACTACTACTAATAATAATGCATAATGAAACCGCATTACCGTGATGTATCAATTAAATAAGTAGGAGCCACGAGGAGGATTCGAACCTGCACACAATCTAATCCCGAGCACACGCCTTAAATCACAGACCCGAGACATGCTAAAAAGCAATGCAATTTGAGCTTCAACTGAATCCTCTATGGGTCCTGAGGCTTCTACTAAAGCCAAGTCAGGGTTTCACAAATTGCCAGCATGCATTTTGTCTGGTTGTTTAAGCAGTGTGCCTGGGAGTACCCAGTGTGCAGGTTCGAATCCTCGTGGCTCCGACTGATTCTATCAATAATGATGATAATATAAATTATTTTATTATTTTTCTTATCTTATTAGTATTATTTTTCTTAATAATAGTATTTAACTAACAATTAAAGCAATAACAATAACACCGGTGATAATAACTACCATTTTTTAACAGTTATAGTTATCTTCGCGCACTATCATTATTATTATTATTGAAGTGTTTGGAAATTTACTATTATTATTATTAGTATTATTAAAACCGTTGTTTTTGTTTTTAATCTTGAATATATAAGAGTTCAGTAACAAAGGTATTTAGCAGGCAAGAAGACTATGTTAACCCATTTTCATTTAATAATATAAATTGGAAAAAATATAATACTTCATAATCATTGAAACTAGCATAACTAAATGAAAAATAAAAACAGAGAATATCCTGACATAAAATCTTAATAAAATGCCATGGGCCTACACCATAGCCAGGTTGATCCCAACTGTTTCAGGCGTATCCTACAAGATGCTTGAAGAACAGCCCTATAGTTACTAGACCGTGACTTCATACGAATTAGTTTGCATGAGTGTCTTCTCTAATTCCAGGTTTGTGTACAGCTTCTCCATACTTCCTCGAGCGCCTCTCTTAGTGTTTCATCCATATTGTAAGTCTCATACACGTGAACTTTGGTTTGACATCTTGCCTGATAGCAAGGTTGTTCTCATTTTGTTCAAACCAGCGAGAATACTTTGAGTGTTAAATGTCTTCGTGTGTATTTTTTATTTGAATAATAATTATATATATATATATATATATATATATATATATATATATATATATATATATATATATATATATAATACTTATATATAATTATATATATATATATATATATATATATATATATATATATATATATATATATATCGTGTCTAATAGCCAGAACCGCACAACTTAGCCTAATATACGAGGTCCAATATGCATATGCATAACAGGCCGGATGGTTTTCGTTATTTTCAAATATTTCTGTCCAGATTTGTTCATGTCTAACAATACTAATCTATTATATTAGGAACATAAATTATTGACCTAGTTATATTAGGTTATTTTAGGTTAAGATAGCTTTGGATAGGTTAGGTTAGGAAGGTTATGTTAGATTTGATCAAATTTCTATGTTAGTTTTGACTCAAACAATATAAAATTACAATCCTATATGATACAAAGAACATTTTTATCATTTCATAAGAAAACATTTAGGAACAAATTAAATATTTCACGAGAATTCGGCTTGTTAGGCAACTCTGGCTATTAAGTACGACATTAAATATATATATATATATATATATATATATATATATATATATATATATATATATATATATATATATATATATATATATATATACGGTATACATACATTTGAATGTATGTGTGGGTGTGTATGTATTTATGTATGTATAGGGATGTATGTATGTAAATACAAAGATACAAGAATAGCGGAATATGATTGGTCACATGACAGTTGAGCAGCATCACCACGTCAGAGTATGTGACTGGGAGATGAGAGATGAGCATGATGGAGTGGGAGTTGTTCACCAGCTCCTTTAAGAGTTCAGTCCTCCCTGTCATCACTGCTAGAACCCCTTTTTACATGTAGATATTTCTCGTATTTATCTCACAAGAAAACTGGTAAACCCTTGGTGTAAATATTCTTCCCGAACAAATTTTGTGTAAATTTGGCGCTATTCTACTATAAACAGACCATTAATATATATTAGACAGAAGAACGGTGCGTTCTGTGGGTTTGCTTCGTGTGGAATGCACTTTTGAGTATTATATTTGGAATTCTAAAGTATACAGTACACACTATTTCACTCAACTTGTAGTATTACGTCACTGGAAAACAATTTGCACACCATATCATCTACCTACCGTATTGTATGATATTTTAGGAACCCCAAAGTTCTCTCTATTTGTCCCTCTTTGTATTATAACATTTTATGAACAATAGTGTACACAGATTTTCAGTACTTTCTTGTTGAGCATCATATGAGTTGTTTACATTTGAAGCAAAGACAGAACGGACTGACCTTTTAAATCTACAAAAAACACCAAGCTGGTAACAACCAAAAGGAATTATGGACTAATAAGATATGCTGGTTGTCTAGTTTGACCCTTGTAGAAGAATATATAGCGAGATGACACTGGATTTTTTCCATGTGTAAAAAAGTACAGGGCGTGCTAAACTATTAGCAGACAATCCCAGGAGATTTATGGCCTCTTGTGAAAATCGTAGGAGAACGATATTTACAAAATAAATATACAAGATGATACTCAGATCCGCGATCCAGCTGATAATATCACGAGGATGTCGAAGGAAATCGAGACAATTTACATAAACTCTTGAAAGTTCGTAAATAGTATATAATTTCAGATGAATAATCTTAGGCATCTCAAACGAGTTTGCAATTAAACAGAATGGATTATCGTCAAAAATCCCTAAGCTACAGAGTACTGATATCAGCAACATGTGTTTACAATCAAAATATTTCATTCATGTAGATTGCTTCCAGAAGTGGTTCGTCAATTGTTGCTGCTGCTGTTTTGCTGCGCAACAGGTGTGAGGGACGAGTGACACGTTTCTATAGGAATATTTTGGATGACTTGTGGTAATTTCTCAAGATAATCTTCTTATCATCCACTGTGCACGTTTGGATATTACCTCTCCATCAGTAAAGCCTCAAAACTCCCAAGTGCTCATCACCGGAGCAGGCATAGTTGGTATCAAACATCTGGACAGAACCTGAAACATTGCTTGAATTCTAGTCAGCATCTAATTTGTATGCTCAGCCAACGTATGTATTAATACAACAGCTAGTGCGTCAAACCTCAGGCAAACATTATATATATATATATATATATATATATATATATATATATATATATATATATATATATATATATATATATATATTTTCAATCTATCATAACAAATATGTTTCATTGAATATGACTAAGTTGTTCAGGGCTTCTATCTCTCTGAGTGCTCTTGCATCTTGGTTTAATATGAAGAGGATTTCTCCAAATGTCATATTTGTTAAAGTTTGACTAAAAGAGCAAAAAATTAAACGTATAATGTATTATACTTATTTTAATTTACACAAGTTTTCGAGCCTACAACGTTCGTTCTCATATGAGGAGTGACAAGATATGAGGAAACATCTGATTTATAACACTGTGAGGTTAGGTATGTGTATATAAATATATATATATTATATATATATATGTATATATATATATATATATATATATATATATATATATATATATATATATATATATATATATATATATATATATATATATATATATATATTCAGGAAGGCCATTTCCTATCACTTCAGTAATTAAAGTATGTTGCCCTTATCTCCAGGTCCGCTGAATAAGACAACCTCATGTTAACTCCTTTCTATGTGTAGAAAGTGTATCCTTTCTATGACTCTTGTACGTTTTATTGAGATATAGATACAAATGTTTTAATATTACTTCATAAATGTGTAAGTTTTTAATCAATATGACATGAATTTAATCTGAGAATCTGGTGTATACTTAAGGAAATCAGATGTTGTTGGAATCATTACGTAGAATAATATTTAAATTTTCCGGACCTTTGTTTAAGAAATTATCTTGGGTACAATAAACGTGAAAATCGTGAGTCTTGCGACTTGAATTGAAGAATAAATATTGATCAAAATGTCAATAATTATTACTCAATAAAATATATCGAAAATCTTGGTAATATCAGACAAAGATACTATTGCAAATGTCTCATAACATTGATATATTATTAGGCGTTCTATAACTAAGGTTTCTTTAATTGTTGTCTTTATTTAGAGAACAATGAATCAAAGCAGTGAAAAGGATTGTGCATTTATGATAATATATCTTCCGGGAAGGGCAATCATTGTTCCGGTGCCAAAATAACTGAGGTAATAATAGTTCCGGTGCCAATATAACTGAGGTAATAATGCATATACATATGAAATTACAGCTGAGGTGGCATTTTTGAAACCTAAGATGTAAAGTCACCTCCTGCCATTATATATCTGTGGAGCCATTGCAGCTAGGATAGCTGGTACCATTGAGAGTGCCATTGCGTATAAGGAGTCATTACAGCCGAAGACCGATTACAGTTGTAAGGGATGTTCTAATGGTGGGCGAGTTTGGCTTCTACCCTCTAAAGGAGATCCAGACCAATGATAGAACCCACAAAAGTAGAACCAGACCAAAACTGGAACTTCCAACAGGAGACCAAAACCAGCACTGGGACCCCCTATGGGAGACCCAGAACACCACTGGAATCCGCTATAGGAGAACCAGACCAATGCTGGGACTCCTTAAACAAGACCCAGACCACAGCTGAGACCCACAGGTGACTAACATGTATCTTGGAGTTTTGAAGGACTTTACCGCACCGTGAGAAATACGATGTACCATCTTTTATGTAATAAAGTTTACATAAAATAATATCTGTTTTATTTTACGAAATAATTTTCTAATTTTGTAATAACAAGGATTACGGCTCTTCATGATCTATTAAACCTTCGTGAGCCTTATAAAATAAGGTGGCAGAAAATTTAATTTATAAATTCCCCCCAAAATTAATTCATATTTCATTCTTATTCTACAATAATACTGAAATAGCATTGGAGTGTATAGTATGGTAAAGGATGGAACAGCATGGTAAGAGGGAGTTACAGCTGGGAACACCAGGGTACAAGAACAGAAGGGAAGGAAACTATCAGGAGAAAGCGCCAATCCATTATGACTATATAGCACTTGGAAGAGATCAGGATAAGGATTTGGTATGTGACGGGGGGGAAGGAATGGTGTCCAACCACTTGGACGGTCGGTCAGAAGCTAAATTACAAAAACAGAGCAGAAGCAAAAACGAAAAGGAAATAGGAACATTTATGGCATCCAACGCAGTTCAACGCATCCCTTATCTATCTCTGTCTGTGTATGTGTCGCTCTCTCTGTCTCTGTATCGCCCTGTCTCTCTCTCTCTTTGTTTCTTTATCAGTGACTATGTCTCCGAGTCAGTCTTTGTGCTTTTCTTTGTATCTCCATCTCACTTTTCTCTCACTTCTCCCTCACTCACTTCATCTCCATCTTTCTCTCTCTTCACCTGGTACACTATGGAGGACTTAAGTGATGATGATACAATAATGCACAAAACTGAACACAGAAAGTGAAATACGAGCTTCCAACAACTGAAAGCATCTAACATAAACGATGCTAACAAATGTGTGTAAATATTACAGCAGAATATTAACAATAACGACCTTGAACTTCTGCATCTCTTCACGTAATATTTATTCTCCGTGAGACATTACTCTCTCACCTTTCTCACACACTTTCTCTCACTCTCTCTTTGCCTGCTTCACTATTCTCCTGTATAACACCCTCAGTTAAGTCCGTCTGTTTCATCTTGCACAACAGGTGTGACCTCTGCAGTCTCACTGCCTTAGAGTCCTGTTCACATCCCAGCGACACCACAGCTCACAGACTGGACACATCTAACAGTCCAGGCGCAACTCACAGCTCGGCCATGACTCACTGTCCGACCACAACTTATAGCCCAGCCACAGCCCACAGTCCAGCCATTTCTCACAGTTCGTTTATAGCTTACAGCCCGGACAGAGGTCACAATCTGGACACAACTCACAGTCCGGCTAAAACTCGTAATAACGTATACCACACAGGGCTCGGAGGAAGACTTGCAATACAGACGAAGCCTCAAGCTAATCCTTTCCA